TATATTGTGATTAAAGAATGTCAGTGAAAACTTCATTTGTTTTATTTTTGGAATATGTACTATCAGAGACTTCTGCTTGCACAATTTATTTACCTCTGTGTGTATCAATTGCATTGCCTATAAACAAGGATGATAATACTTAAGATATTATCAGCTTGCAAAATTTAATCCAAAGCTTAATCCATTAGTGTCGTTAAAGGATTTTGGGATCTGATAGAGAAAACCACAAAATATGATTTAGTCAAAACCCAACTGATAATGTAAATAAATATCACTTTCTGTCTCCTTGGCCAGGCTTTGAAACGTACCATCCCCATTTACGTACATAAGATGACACTGGGATAGCAAAGTTTAACTCTGGTTAAGTTACAGACTACCCAGAAATCTCTTGCTCTTGTTCTTCTGAGGATGAGGATATTGCGAGCACTTGAGAAGAGATTTGGCAGTGAGGGCTGGGGAATGGGGCTGTGGATGGTGGCAGCTGTGGGGCTCATCTCTGAGGCATGGATGGACAAGAATTTTGTGAGGCAAAATTTCCTGTGCTGTCTGCTGGATCCAGAGCAGTGGGGCAAAACATTTATGATGTGAGAAAGCCTCTTCCTCTCACTGACCAGGAATCAAACAGTAGAAATGTTAAATATCTCAGTGACACATGAATGTAATAATTTGGAGGGCTCTTGTTAAAGGCAGTCTCCCAATTCCCAAGCAATTCACATGAAAGGGAATCTTGTAAAGACTGTTGATTTTGCTAAGCCCTAGAAACAGAGGTATATGTATCTACACTGAAATCAAGGCAATTAGATACCTAATTAGCAATTAGTTGTATGTGTACAAAACTGTTTAGATATCTGTTTTCTACGTGTGTTTTGTGATACAGCTGTTTGAGCCAGGCTGCAATTGTAAGCTCTCATTTTATAGAGCATTACCATGAAACGTGGATATATCCATGTAAAACAGAATGAGGTCTTTTATCTAGTTACCAACTGTAGCATCTGTATTTCTTGCTTGTGTTCAGCAGCCTGAATGTGTACTTGAGCTGCTGCAAATCAAAGGCTACGCATACGGTGTAAACACAAGAGCCAATAAAAATTATGCTTATGTACATTTATAACGCCATGCGATAATATCCATGAAATACTGTTTCAGGTGCACTGGCTTGTTTTTATTAAGCTTGACTTTAATCCGCAATACTCAAGAGAAGGACATTCCTTTCAAGAAATCTTTCCCCCCGCTGAACAATGTCAATCCCAAGCCTGACACTCTCTTGCGTGGGGAAACTGCTGACCTGGTGGGATTTGGGTCTGGCCCTTAAAGTGCAGGTTTCTGGTCAGCATGATCTGTGTTATCTGTCTTCTACAAATGATAGTGCCAGGAGGTTCCAACAGGTCTTAAAGAACAGATTTTTGTTGTATTTTTTTTTGGATTTTAAAGCAACCTTGACTGTTCTTTTCAGGTATAAGGATTTGCTCTCCCTTCTTGGAGACCCTGATACCTTCTTACTCGTGTTTAAAAAAATGAACAAAGAAATACCACATTAGGTGAAGACTGAATGTGATCATACTTCCAAATAATTATAGCAGCTTTCCTTGTAGAAACTGACACAAACTGTCATCTTTACTTGCAGCTGAAACAGGAGGTGGCAAGGTATGGCCAATAAATGGGAAATGCAAGAGAAAATGGCATCAAGATCAAGCTGTGTTCCCCTGAGTGTAGTACTACATAAAGATATTAGAGAGCAAATAAAACATGTATAACATCAGGCAGATTTTCTATGTATTGTTCTAGAACTCTAATTTAAATTTTGATCTGGTCCACCCTGTGAAGCCAAAGAATAATGAAAAGAGGTTTGCTTTAACTTTGGAGGATTTATGGAAGTGCTGCTTTCCCATATAAGAAATTATGCTGAGGATGAGAAAGCAGAGGAGGATACAAAACTACTCAGGAGTCATGGCTGGGACCTCTCTGATAGCTATCAGGAAGGTTGTCATATCAGGAAGATAAATTTCTCCCACAGAGAGGATTTCACAGGAAGCCCTTTGGAAAGAAATGTTCTCCTAAGTAAATTGTACAGCTCATATGGATTCAAGGTTAAGAGGTTGGTACAATCCCTGTTCAAATGTTAGCAGGAAATAAAACTCTAATAACAGCAGCCTTTCACTGACATCAGCTCCTTATTTATAGGCACCCTAAGGAGTCTCTACCCTTCAGTGACGATAGAGACATGGGCTCTGTCTTTCTGTAGTTGCAGTTGCAAAAAGATTCTATTACAATCCTTGTTTTCAGGTTACACTGTAGATTTGACTTTTAAAAGTGGTTTGACCTAGAACACTTCATGTTTCTTGAACATAGTAGGAGAATTTCCCCATAAGTTTAGAGATGAACAGACCGTGCGTTTTTGAGGTACAGGGTATTTAAAAAAAAAAATTGCATTTAAAATCAGAACTATATTTGGGTCTCTGGGCCAGGTTACACAAAAGGTGCGAACTGGTCATGCCAAGAATGATGGCTGACGCTGAAACAGAACTGTAGGAAGGAAACAATCCAAAATGCCTCTGTACTAAGGCTGTACCAAGCACAAGATGAGAAGGAGGGAAGTCTGGCAAGAAGAGTAAGTAATTTTTAATGAATTTTCTTCAAAGGTTATTAGGAAAATATTTTTGTAAACAAGGGAATAAATTGCTTCCAGCTGCTTGTTCAGGCATCTGCCTCTGCTGGTTTCCTGATGCATCTTGGCTCATGTGAGGGATGGGAGGAAGGGGCAGCTGCTGGCTGGCCTTTCTGAGCTGCGAAGGGCTGAGATTTGTCTTCCCTGAGCAGCAGAGAAAGCCCCACTGTGTCTCTCTGCTCTTTCGAGTGGCTCTGGTTGCTTGGCATTTCTGTGCCTTATGGATCATGTAATGCCTTTTCTAAAGTAAACATTTATAGACTTCAGGTTTTCTTTGCCATGCTCAATAACCAAGTGGAATTACCCTGAAAGGGCTCTAAATTGTTTCCACGTGATCTCTGAGTACAAGTGCTTTGGGCAATGCTGGGAGGATAGCTCTTGTTAGTTAACAGCACAAACGAGCAAAAATGAAACATCATTATCTGTAAATATCAGCAACAGGTCAGCTATGTAAAAAGCATGTTTTCAAGCAGGTCATCTAAAAAAAGCACAGAGAAATCCAGCAGCTTCACTTATTTGCTTCATTAGCTTCAAGATTTCTCACAAACCATACACAACGTCTAGGGTTCACTGCTACTTTCTCCCTCGCCTATGAGGATGTTTGCACCAGACTTGAGGAAACTGATAACCTGGGTGCGAACCCCTTCCTAAAGATCAAAAGGCCAGCTGACATCTGCTGAGATTTCACCACTTCTAATCCCTGTGGTCTCTCAAGGTTGCTTGGGTGAAGGGCTGCTCCCCCTCCAGAACGCCCATGTCAGTGAAAAGGGGAAAGACAAAATTCAGCCCAAGTTTGACTCACAGAAAGGCTTTTTTTTTGGGCTGAGTTTCTAATCTTGCTGCCTTAGTTGCCTACCTGTGTAAATGTAGATATGTATTTGTAATATAGATAAACATAAAAACAGCTTGTAAAGCATAGCTATGATAAGCAAAGGTATGCTAGTGAACTTTTTGGTAACTTTTACTCACTATTGCAAACTCTTTGTTGAGGATCATCTGCTCCACCAATGATGACTCATTGTGGAAGAGATGAGGCTGCATGTGACTCCACATATGGGGAAACCACCAAAACTCATCTACAGACCTCAACAGCAGGTCATCACCTTCATCTTCCTCTTCTGTTCCTGCAAAAGAAAGAAAGAAAAAGAAGGGTCATGGAAAAGCAACAGCCCATAATTGTTTTTTAAACACGAGAGAGGCTGCCAGACAACTTAAAGTCCTTGGCCTGGGTGCCTCGCTGTGCTGCACACAGGCTCTAGCACATCACAAAAGGAGTGAGGTGAATTGCCATGGGTGGCAGCTATTTTTTTCTATTCCAGGCATCACGTTCACTGACCGTAATGCTAACACGAATTACTTTTCAAGGGCTGATTGTTGGGCTCTGTAATGCACTAAGAGTACTTAGAAGTTCAGGCTCCCCATGAAGGTGGAGATTGGATGGACTTAAAATCATAGAATGGTTTGGGTTAGAAAGGACCTAAAGGTCCTTAAAAGATCATCGAGTTCCAGCCCCCCTGCCATGTGCAGGGACACCTTCCACTAGCCCAGGTTGCTCAAAGCTTTATCCAGCCTGGCCTTGAAACTTGTACCCACCTGCTTTTGTGCTGCTGGACACTGGGCAGTTGTATCTGGCCAGGGTGGCATCACAGAGAGCTGTGTGACAGGGTCTTGCCACTCCCCTCCCGACCCCACCCTGCCCCATAGCTACCTCACTGTTAGCATCAGTAAATTGAAATCTGATAATTTCTGATAAAGTGTGAAACAAGTTTGCAATAGTTTCAAAATATAATTAGGTGGAAAACGTGAGGTAATGGCAAAGGGGTTGCAAATCTTGTTTCCTATGGTTCAGCATTCAGCTTTTGCCAAGTTTAATCTTGGAAAAAAACCAAACAATAAAAACCCTGTGTTAGTGAAGAGTATCTGCTTCAGGCAGAGGCAAGTATGTGTGGTTATAACAAAGAAAACTTTCCATTTGAGAAATTATACAATGCTACTTCCACCCTCTGCAGGCACACGTCTAGAGTGCTTTTTCAAATTGGAAAGGCAAAGTTACATTTCACTAACTTCCCCCTCAAGTTCCTCAAAAACATTTAATTTATTGTCAACCTTCCTTCTTGTTCCTTGACCATTTAGATGCTTTTACTTAGCTTCAGTCAAAGAAATTATTGCCAAATTCAGTCTACTAATGTGAATATAGATATCTCTCTCTTTACCAAGCCTTTCAATGTTTTGTGAAACTCCCTGGAAGAAAATGTTCCATGGATGTCACTGCTTACTCTTGTGGCACGAGGCAGGAACATACAAAGATGGCTGTTGGGTGCTCCTCAGCTCTTTATTTTTATTTTTCACTTTCGTAATGTTTTTTGAAGAATGCTACTACAGAAGGAGAGCATTGCTTTGAAACCTTCTCGTGGTGTCCCTGAATCACTTTACTCCCCTCTTTGCAGCACTCCCCAAGTTCCAAGCAAGCAGAAAGTTGCTCCTGCTGGTGGGAGTGCTGCTGGAAAAAGAAAACAACCTTGTTTTCCAGGTAATTCTGTATCAAAAACAAAGGACCAATGACTGCTCTTTCTGTGAATGTCTGTGCCTTCAGGCAAAACTTCTGCACAGTGTATCTGTTGAATGAATGCTGTCCTGTTTTTTGGGGTATGTGGTTCACCCAGGCATGTGCAGGGGAAATGTGACAGGACAGAAGAGAAAGGGATGGGAGTCTGTGAAGGCATTGAAGATCTCTTTGGTAACCCAGAAGTAGAAAACTGAAGGTAGGCATGAAGAGAAAAAAGTGGATATTTGAAGTATACAAAGAACTACAATAATTTGACATAAGGTTTAGGTCAAAGTATAATTTAGTGCCTTATTAATATTTGAAGTAGAGCATGGTTCTTGAAATAATTTTATCATTAAAAACTATATTTTAAAATCCTATTTTTCCTACTAATTTCTTTGTACATTTAGATGCAATTAATCAAATTTTGCACTTTTTTTGTACTGTAAAAACAAGATAAACCTGTCACTTTCCAGTTTGAACAAAACCAGCCCCACCCCATAATGGCAAAGCTTAAACAGAAAGACTTGAGCATTTGGTGGTGGTGTTGCTTGTGAGGATAATTTTCTTTACAAGCCTTTAAGAAGAGTGATGTTTGATTTTATAAATTCTTAAGTAGAGTTATTTAAAAAAAAAAATCTCGTGAAAGGGTTTAGTAAAACACTTGGCGAGTGCTTACATTGTTTAAATATTTTTGCCCAATCCCTTATTCAGAGTATTGGAGGCAAACCAGAGGATTTTGAGGATTTGATTTGTTGTACAATCAGCATTCTCTATGTAACTTTCTATCTTCATTTTAATGTGAAATCTGAAAAATGCACTAGGCCTACAATCAAGGATGTGAACATACATCTGCTTTGAGACGCAGTATGCACTTTACACAGGTAATAATTCAAAGCTTGCTTGCACATAATAAATAATCCCACAATTTAAAACCACAACCATAATTTATCAGTCTCTTTTGAGCTCAAAACTGAAACTAAGTTTGAAGTTGCTATCAATAATCTTGTAAGTCTTAAATGCAAATCCTGGGAACATCTTAATTTCTATCGCCACAGCACGAAAAAGTAGAAGGTGTTTGCTAAAACTGCATGACCGATAGTCAGTCTTTGTGAACAACCGTATGTCTGCGATGTGTAGTTTACCAGTGCCATGAAAGGGAATGGTGGTGGTGAGCTGATGAGCAGTAAGGCTGATGTGCCAGCTATTGTGCTTGTGCACGGGCATACCGACTAGAATTGGTACTTGTAGTACAGATGTCAGCAACATCTTCTGATGAAAATGTATAACTGTTTAATCTGCCAACACACTCCCAGGCTCATCTCCCTCCTGTAGCTTTAAAATGATGCAAGTTTTGGAAAGGAGAGCAAAATCACACATTAAGGAAGTCAATAAGACACAGCAGTCGCAGTGCGCTAATAAAACATGTTGAATTTCTGATACTAAAAGCCTCTCTGGGTAAACAAGCCACATTTACAGTAATTAAAGAATACCTTTCCATGTTTTATTTATAATGAGTCAATAAAGTGTATAATGCATGGAGAATAGTTTGAAATCTTTCCGCTAAGGTGATATGACAAAACGCCACCGCCAGCCTGTAAATGAAGTGCTCACTTAAAAACTCAGACGCATCGCTGAGTACCGGCAGCGGCAGGTCCCTTAATGGAGGCAAGGACATGCTTCAGCTCATTAAGTAGTTTTGTGCTGGTTTTGTAAGCCTTGAGAGTCTTAGAAGGATAGGCACACAGGCACGTTTTCCTGTTTTCTCTCTCTACAGCAGTAGCAAATCTGAAACTGGTCAGCGTTAACTGGGCAAGAAGACTTGTGGACTGGCAGGAACTGGCTTCACTAAGGAGCAGCAACAGCACATGGAGCTGTTGGGATTAACAAGGAAAAAACATATTGACAGGTCGGGGGTTTGATTTTGTAGAAAGGCTGCATGTTCTGTGCCAGCCACTCTTCCAGTATATCATAGTACTTGTAATAAACTCTCTTTCTTTACCTCCTCTCCTCCTTGAATTACCTTTCCCTGCAGCGGACACTGCAATGGCTGATACCAGATTTACTCCGTAGGTGGCCACAACCGAGCAACATCCTGCTTTAGAACAGCTCAGAGCCTTGGGCTATTTTTGTTGATTTTGCTGTATGACGTGTGTGTCCAATTAATCTTGAGAAGGAATAACTATACAGGCAGGTCAAGATGAAGTGAGCAGAATACTGGAGGTCTGTCTCCAAAGTTGCTCCCTAATCACAGGTCTGCCACTGGCTTGTTATATGACTCCAGGCAAGTAATTCCATCTCTCTCATTTTTCTCAGGTTCTCCAGCCTATATCTTTAGTCTGTAAGGTTTCCTGGGCAGCAGTTGCTTAGCATTATGTGCTTGCACAAGGGGAAAACAGCCTGGACTTCAAAAGCGACAGTGATATAAATAATTTTGGTTTCCTTCTCACTACTCATCCCTCAGATTCTTCCTCATCTCCCCCTCTCCCAGGCACCTCTGAATTCTCCTAATAGGTGATGAAACAGAGATAGAAGAGGTGGGTAATCTCATCTGCTTGGTGTTCAGATATGGGCAATGTTAAGCACACTGCTACACCTCGGCTGAGAGGAGTGACCTTCATTTATCTGCCTTATTCCACTGCCACCCCATGACCCATTACAGCTGGGACTGGGAAGCTGGAGCGGAGGTGCAGCAAAGTGTTTGGGAGAAGGCAAAGGAGGGAGGCGGGCAGAGAGGGCGTGGAAAGGAGGGCATCGTGCGGTGGAGAAATGGAGCAAAAGAGAGAGAAAAGTGTCATAAGGAGGAGACGTAAAAGGGCCTAATCTTACACAGAAACACGGTGGAAGTATGCATGCAACTTGTTACTGCACAGCATGTGAAAGGAGTGGGGTTTCAATACAAATTTCTTTTCATCTTGTTTTCCTTTTATCATCCCTCCTGCTTTGCACACCACTGAGACAGATTACCTTTACAGTCCTAACAGAATCTTGTGCACCCTGTTCAAATACTTCTGCCTCTTCAGAAGTTATGAGACATGATTTTTTTCGATCTTTCATATTTCGTCACACCTATCATACTGGAAATACCTTAACATGTCTTCTGTGCTGCTGTGTCCTTTGTGGAATTATGGAGATTTTAGCAGCTACTTTGTCCCCTTTATAACCTGAAGACTTACTACCATGTGTCTTTCAGAAGAGCACGAAGGGCATCTTTGTGTTCCTAAGAAGCTCCCCTGTAACCTGCCTTTGCCCCTTTGGACAGTGAATTAGACCCTGGATGCTAAATATAGTGGAGAATGTATTTCCCACTGCTTTACTCAGTCAATGTGTTATTTAAAAAGGGCATGTTTAAAGCTAGGTTTAAAATCCCATCACCTATTTAGCTGCAGCCACCTCAGAGCATGAAGTTCCTTCTTACCTGTATGGTAAAATTTTCCTGAAAATCCAAGGTTGAAGGTAAAATTTGCAACCTGAGTGCGCAGTAAATTTTGAGTCTCTAGTAAAGCCTGAAATAAATAAGAAATTAACATGCATTTAGAAAAATGAATATTAATTTTTGGAGTGCCTAATTTTAAAAATTGTATCTAACTGAGAAGATACAAAAAAGAAGATCCTGTTAAAGGTTTCACAATTTATTTTGGGCTCATTCTTTTTTTAGAAGACCATTACAGTGAGCTTAATTAGTTCTGTTAGAGTTTGATGGTCTAGCAATGCTACTCATAGTACCCTAGTACTAAAATATGTGATGGTTCTGTAACTTGGACCGAGATTCTGTACATTATTTGCAGTGATCTATGGCAGGACTTGAATCCAGCCACTCAGAAGCAGCAATATACTAAATCACTAAGTCACTCATGTTTTGGGTTATTAATGAGGCTTGGTAAAATGCACTTAAAACCCAAAGTGAGATTAGGAGTACTATGTGGCATCCAGATGTGGAGGTGTTAGGATTTACTTACCTGCAGAAACATTTTTATTGTGTCTGAATACCAAATTCAGCCTTAAATTTAAGTGAGCAAAACTCCAAATTTGACCTGTAGCAGAAATACTGTCCGTTTTTCTTATGCCAGAAATTAAATCCCTGTTTATTTTTATTCTCTCTTCCAAGCAAAAGATAAAACCAATCTAAGTGAAATGGAGGAAAAGGGTATCGCTTACAGAAGAAAGAAGCGTAGTCTTGGCTACCTGTCCAGTTTTTCATGGATGTGTTTCCAACCGCCAGTGAAAGAGAAAAGACAGAGTCTCAGCCTGCATGAACTACCTATACTTACTGTTAAGGATGTCAGTTCTGCACTGCTTCTAAAGATAGTCCTTGCTGCACAGATATCTCTCTGCTTTGAATCACCAGCCCACGTAATTTGGATGTGCTTCATATGTAAGATGGATGGTGCGTTTATCTCCCTATTGGTCTTGCCAATGTTGAATGGGTTATAAGCTCTATTTTAATCCATTTTCTGTGTCTCCATTATGTGGCTCTTGAGAACTTTTCCCATTATCTATTAATAACATTTCTATTGATTGAACGGTCATGTTCTTGCACAGTTCAAAGATAAAATGAACACAATGGTTTACACGCAGTCCAAGTCCAGCTAATGTTCCCTCTCATTTGAAGACTACCTTTTGTATGGTCATCAGTAACTTCACTTAACGTTACAGGAAAATAGTTTTACCTTTTTGCTCAGTCCACTGGTCTAATTTACAAAACAACAACAAACTCAACTTGTGACTGTAAACCAAAAGTAGAGTTAGTCCATTGTAAAGGATGAACCCAGGGTTTAAGCAGCTGAGATGCAGACTGATGGCCTCTGCCATCCCAGTCCGGCATGGAGCCAGACAAAGCAGGTCAGGTTTCGGTGGTGTCACGATTTATCACATGCTCTTTGCACTGCAATGAGTTAGGAGGTGCTGTCAGCTCCCGTCAGCCTTTGCTGTAGGCCATTAACTTTAAGAAGTTAATTATGACACATTTGGGCACTATGCATATTGGAGCACAAGTCTCTTCTGCAGCGTCGTTTGCTGACAGGCACTTTCTGAAGAGGCATCGTCTGGGTACCAGGCAGCTCAGGAGTGTCATATAAAAGATTGTCAGGCAGCGTACACCTGCCTTCATTTTTTTTTTTTTTAAATAGAAACGTTTATTGTGTGTCAAGGAAGATGTAAAACAAAGGTAGTGGTTATCAGCTGTAACAGTCACTGAGTAAATTCCTTTCCTTGCTGAAGGAAAAGAATAAAGTAACTTAATGACAGTAAATCTTGTGCTTTAGCATTGGATATTAAGACAGCAGTACAGTTTCCAGCCTATCTTGGCAGATATTTAATAAGTTGATTATTTCAATCCTGTGACAATTTCACATGTGGAACTGTATTTACATGATATGTAACTAAATTTTCATTAAAATGTAAAACGTTAGAGATCAACACCACTGTTAGCTAAGATATTGAAGAAAATCCCCAGGTGGTAAAAACTGGCACTGAACTGACACCATTAAAGTCACAAGCATAGAATCTGTGTCATTATATTTTAGAACATAATTTTCCAAGGTATGCAGAGCATTTGATATGTGTTGAGAAAGACTGATGGGCTGAGCAAAATCAATTCAATTTTCCTTTGAGGAAAGAACACCTCAAGAAATTATCATCACTTAACATATAGCATAAGAAGGTACGTGAAACAAACTTTGCTATATCACTCTGTTTTCTTCCTCTCCAATTGCCCTCACGCTCACTTCTCAATAAGATGACAGAACTGCGGGGTAGGCAGAAGCCTTCCAGCCCAGGTCTCATTAAAAACACAGAGCAAGGATTAAGATGTAAATCCTGTTACCTGCAGTGTGTCAAACATTTTTCTCTGCCTAAAGGGCAGAACTGTCACTCAAACTGGATTTGGCTTGGTCCTAAAGACTTTTTTCATAGCCGTTTCCATATATGCATATAACATTAATATGCAGCTAAACTTCATTTTCATGACCTCACCTAATTTTAATACTAAGAAGATATTGTCAGCTAAGTCAGTCCAATCATATTTTGTCGCCATGTGCTTGTTTGTAAAGGGTAACATCTTCCACATCCTTAATAAAAAATAACAATCTTTTTTTAGGTGATTAGGGTTTGCTTTCCCTATTTTTAATAAGTATATATTCAAACACTATTACTAATCACTCATAGCGCCTTCCCTGGTAATTTTGCACAGCAAACAATGAGAACTGTCTCCTGTTGGTACAGAACCCAACAGCACACAGCACAGGAAAGTGCTGTGCCAGGAGAAGAGCAGACAACTTTCTTCTGTCACCCTTTCCTGTGCTCAAGTGTGGGTGAACCCCTGTGCATTTCCCTGGGTGTTTTGAATGCTGAAGGGATTTATTTATTTTATTCTGAAGGGTTTTGCAGGATGGCAAAGGGCTATGGAAATCATACCCAACACCAGGTGGGAACGCAGCTATTCATCCTCTGCCTGGGTCCTGCCTGTGCCATCTCAAGCTTCCCTTGGCAGCTCTCCTTCCCAGGGGACTCGCCTGTCCCTGGCCCTTCCCCGTCAGCATCCCCACTTTGTCACCTTCACTGAGGGAGAACCTTGGATGCTTGGCTGGTATGCACTGCCCACAACTTCAGCATGAGGGAAATTCGTATAGAGAAATGTGCATTTAAAAAAAAAAAAAAATAAAGGCAAATCTTATTTTGTAGGCAAGTTTGTTGTGGTTTTTTTTTTTTTTTTTTCAGTGTCTTTCAGCAGACCACAGCATTAAGTTCTATCTGTGTGTGTCTTTTGCTCAGAGTCAGTGGGATTACTTTTTTTCTCTGAGTACTGGGGCTTAAAAGAGCTGTAAGTGGAGGAAAGCTTTTTGTATGTGAAAACACAATTAGGATTCCCCATTGAACTCATAGGGGTATATTAAACCAACAGCTGGAGAACGCTGTTTATATATTTTTGGACAGTTACGTAGATCATGCTGAATAATTGTTGTTCTCCAAGGAAAGAACCACGGAATATACCTGCACATGGACAAACAGGCCTGTCTCAGTGCTGGGCTAAGTAAATTGCATTTTTTTTAAGGTAATCTGAGCTGTTCTTTCAAATACAAAAAACTTAATTGCCTGGAATTGCTCATAACTCATGGGTTTCATTTTATTAATTGATTCTTTGCTTTGACAATGAGGTTTCTCTCTGTGACACCCACAAAACATGGTTTCTTCTTTATATTGCATTTACATTCAGCAGTATTTTACATTAATCCATATAATTACCTTTTGTAGATTTGAAGTTGCCGTGTCTTTATTCTTCATAATTGGTGCATCTATTAAGCAGAAGTGGTATTTTCCTGCTATGTCCTTGTTAATTATAACTCTATCCTTCATTTACATAATAAACTTTTTGGGGCAATTTCTGCAGTAACATTTCATGCCTAACAGGAAGCAATTTGCTTTCCTTTATTAAGTACATTAAAACTTCATGCCCCATACATCATTGACTGTAAACATTTGATTCTGCTCAAATTTAATGCACTGAGGCATTTTGCTCTGCCATATTAGGTTTATTTATGTGCTATGTTCTGGATTGTTAGCTGCTAATGAGACTTCAGCTCTTATTGCTCTAAGGCCTGAACACTAACCTCATTTTAATGAGTTCATTATTTGCTGCCTTCTGAATGGAAGACAACAAATTTTCCTTTTAATTAAAGGTCAAAACACCTCTGGCTAAGGAAAGTGAAGAGGTTATCAAATCCTTAGAGAAGGTATAAAAGAATGATTTTTTCTGATTTTCATGCCAAGCATGGGCAGGCCAGACTGAGGTAGAAGGTGTTTCTCTGAGGACCAGAACTCCAAATCTAAGCTAAGTGATAACTACCCTAGAACGTCGTACTAGTGTTCCCAAGACATTGTTAAAAAAATCCCCCAAAACAACAACAACAAACCCAAACAAAAAAAACCCCAAACCCAAAAAAACCAAACCAAACCCTGAAAGCCAGCCAAAGTAATTAAAGAGGCTTTACTCCTAACCCGAAGGTCTGTGTGGATCAATAGTACTGCTAAAGCATGAGCCCTTCTTTGCATGTGCAATGATTTATAGGGTGCAGAGGACAGATGCCAGATTAATTGAGCCAACAAAAACTAATCTCATATTTCTTATTGGGGAAGGTGAGGCAGATGTGATCAATATTGGGGGCTGTTTGTAGGGAGACAGAGGTCTGTGCAACCCTGTGTTTGTGTGTATGTGCATGTAAAGGGGATTGGTGATCCCTATCTTTGAAAATAGAGTGGAAGCTTGAATCCTTTTTTGGTTTGGCTAATTAGAGGAATTCCTATACAGATCCTTGTCCTTTGTCTAGCATTTTTAACCTGGTCACCATCTTAAAGACAGGCTAACATCAGTTCATGTGCCTCTTGTTGGAGAAGCTGCTCACATCTCAGGTAACAGTGTTAGAGATGGGAAGAGTATTTGTGAAAGAAGAGGCCAGTGTCTGTAGGAACAGCTGGTGAAAACTTAAAATCTGGTTTTGGTGGCGATTCC